ATTGTTGACCCCAAAAAATGTTGCCAACAGATGTCGGGCCCACTCGTGCACACGTAAACTTTATCCAACACGCTAATGCCGATCGACGGTCATGAAGACTCCAGAGAATGAGCGTGGGAGTAGCAAAAAGNCAATTCATCTCCTCTAAAATTAATTCTACTCATCCAATGCAAAATTGATGTGTATGTGTGTATGTGGAGATTCATGTAAATATCATGACTTCATCAAGTGATTCAAGCCTCAGCCCTCAATGGTCAAATATTTCATTTCTTCACTTATACGATGTATACCCCAAACTTATTCTTTAAGGTTTCCATACTGTGGTTTGTGAAGTATATTGACTTCAAATGGAAATTGAGTTAGAATCATGCTACAATAACACAATGGTTAACACAATAACATAAGGTTAACATCTTATCTTTGGACTTTTAATGCTCAGTCAACTTTTACATCCAATTGTATCTTGTTAACACTTATTATGTTAAAGCATTTGTCAACAAATTCTATCAAAGTAGCGTAACCCATTGAGTTATGTGCGGGCCTAGAAATACGTGTACATGTCACCAAGTACCTAAATTCTCAATCGCATGATAATCTCCCTCCAACATTTATGGATGACATCTCGATCGCCCAATAATGTGGACCTTTTCTAGAAAAGGACAAAAAAAAACTAGGAATGACATCTCGATCGCCCAATAATAGACTTTTTTGATATCCATTGACCTAGGAATGACAAAAAAAACTCGACAATTCAATACCCGCGAGGCCCGTGTATAACGACCCGGCCTCTCACCAGAGTCATTATCTTACGTACTGTCCACTTCGGGTAAGCCTAGGCCCATCTTACCCCTCACAGCTTTTTGAATCATCTCCCAGGATTCGAACCCAAGACCTCCATCATATGGGAGACTTAAGTTGAATTCTGGTACCAATTGGATATGGAGGTCTAACTATGGAGAAAAAAAAAGGGGAAAGTTTTATATTTTTGAAATAACTTAAAAAGTTGAGGATAAAATTAACAATAAATTTTAACTACATATTTAATGGGATCCCTAACTTTGATCAAGTTTTTTGTCAAACAACCTCTTAATTTGGGAAGTTCTCTTATTAATAGAGGTGGATTTTATCGAGAGTGAAATTTTTTGGGCAAGAAGGTATACCATTGTATTAATATTTTACATCAATCATAAATCACAGATAATTTACTTTTGCTGACTTTGATAATGAGGTATTTTACTTTCGACACTTGGACGATTAACATTAATCGTAATGGAAATTGTCATTAATGGTCCCTAACATATGATACTTGCTTACTAATGGTCATAACTTTCTATTCTTTGCACTGATCCCCCAAACATATAAATTTCGTGTGCAAAAAGTCTTTTTGGACGATTCCATCCATTCTTGCCATTGAAAGCATATCACTTTAATTAAAAGAATTTGTCTCTATCCTTTTATATACTTGAAGGTCCATATGAAAAATTTCTCAATTTTCATAACTTTCTTTATCAAAGAGACGGGGGAGAAAATACACGCGGAGACCAAGAAAGAAAAAGAAATCTAAATGGTTGCTTTTTCAACCATTTTAAAAAGAATAATGTTATCTATCACCTAAACAATCGGTTTAAGTGACTACACTTTATATATTCAATTAAATGAGTCATGTGACTGTGCATTTAAATGGATCTATCATTTAATGTCATATCATTGTCATCTAGACGGATGCTTAACATGAATAGCATTACTTTCTTAAAAAGTTAAAGTTGTAATTGGTATTTCACAAAACCCATCATTGATTTTTAGTTATCAATTTTGGGAAAAATTCATGGATCGGGTATTATCTATCATGAAATCAAAAATCAGGCACTAATGTTTAGAATTGCAAAAATCAGATTTTTTCATGAATTAATTAATTATATTTTACAATTAATCTATTAAATTAAATATTTAACCGTAATATAATATAATTAACCCACCCCACTCCACTCCACTCCACTCCACTCCACCTCCTCCACCACCACCACTACTGCTCCGGCGACTATTCTGACAACTGTTCTCCGACCGCACTTAATTCCGACGACCATTTTCGGTGACCATAGCCCGCCGCTTAATTCCGATAACTGCTCCGATTTCAAGATCACAGATATCTTATTAAATAATTAAAAATTTAATTTCGGGTCACATATCACGTATTTTCAAATTTGTGGGTCACAGATTCCTTTTTTAGTTACAAATTATCAATTTTAAAGTTACAGTTCAATAGTTAGGTCACAGACAAAATAACCACCACCAATTCAATAGCTAGGTCACAGACACCAGAAAAAACCACCACAATTCAATAGCTAGGTCACAGACA